TACAAGCGTAAAGTCATTTAATTTGGTACATGTATAATGTATAGTTCTTACCTTTTTTTTAAATACATGTATGTGGTATGTTAGAGCGTGTCTCCACCAAAACCGAATACAGTGGAGTCCACTTATAACGAGAAGTCTGTTATAATAAAGACACAATTCTAAAACCCCGTTTTTTGCTCCTCTTTACCTTTGTAAATAAAATACTAGTACCCTCGCGCGAATCTTGGTCGACTCGAACATGGTAGAGGTGGGCAAAATCCGGATAAACTATCCGGAACACCGGATAATTCTCAATGAAATATTATCTGAATTCAGACTCTAAACTCTCTTCCCTTATCCGTTTGCCGAAGTCAGTGTACCCATTTGTTGATTAAAGTAATGCTAACCCGTTTATCTAAGAGATTTTGCCGAAGCGGTTCATAACATATTATTTGCCGAAGAGGTGTACTAACACATTATCCGGATTTCGGTAAAGCGACTCATTGCCCAGCCCTAGTCGCTCCTTCATCATTCTTGCATGATACGGGTTGGTGTATTTCAACCAGCAGAAAAAAATTATGCCCATAAGACACAAGTTGGCCCCCGACTGATATGAAGTCTAGAGACCCCGAGGAAGCAGAATCACCAAAGAAAAAAACTTTATGATGAAAAGCAAGGTTCTAGTACTTTATATAGACCCGGCTCTCGGACTATCACAAATCATGTCTGTAACACTGGGCGTCCTCTCTCAAAGTGATCGAGTGGCCCGATTTGGACAAATTTTAGCCATGGCTACAAAAGCCAGGTCTTGCTCCTGTTCTTAGTTCTACTTTGAAGCACAAGGACCACAAATTTATGACTGAAGCCACACAAAGCCAGTCTCGGTAATCGGTACATGATGTAAAGAACCTGTCCCTCCCACTGAGTTGGGCTCACAGAATTCTACACTTAGAATTCTGTGGTTGGGCTCCACTCCGTCATTTCCGGTTCTTCTTTTTCAGGTGTCAGGTCTGGAGCAGAAATTGACAACCATGGTACCCCATTCCTTCGCGTTGTCTGTCTTCCAGACCAGCTCGGTTTTTCTCTTTGTGCTATAAATTCGTTGCAAAGTTGTTCTGATCATCTGTGCATGTTGTTCTTCGTCTTCCTCGGCTCTTCTTTCCATCTATCTTACCAAACAGCAACAGCTTCTCAAGTCCATTTGGTCTTTTTAAGAAGCCAAAGAACCTTAATTGTCTTTTTTTAAAGGGTTTTGATAATTGATCTTTCACAACCTGCCATTTGGAGCACTTCTCTTTGTGTCTTCCTCTCTGTCCATGACATTCTAAGTATTCTCCAAACATATATTATACCATATTTCAGTGGCCTCCAGTCTCCTCTCTGTGTATTTTTGTTAGAGTCCAGCTCTCGCATCCATACAAAAGGACTGACCATAAATGATATGCTTTCAGGGTTCTTATTTTTGTGTTCACTGTTATGTTTCTACATGTATTAGAAAGGATAGGTTCCATCTTGCTGTAAGTATATTTAGTTGCAATCTTCTTTTTATTTAAACTCTGTTTCACTTTTGCATCTGGTGTAATTGTGTAAACAAGGTATTTAAAGCTGTTAACCAGTTATATTCTTTTGTTATTACATTTAACATTGCATACCGGGATGTCGGCGCTTTTTTAATGTCACCAGGCATTCCTTTTTCTTGGCTTAAATTTCAGGTTACATGCAGCTTATCCGTTGAATTTATCTATGACAGTCATCCACTGTCATAGACAAAAGTGGCAGTCTTAGACAGATGGTCATCTTACAAAGTGTCATTATAACGTTTAAAAAACCCGCAAGGAATGGGAAGTGGACATTTGTACACTGCCGTAAGCTGACAAAACACCTTTTTAAAAAATCACAGTAGTTTCGATAAAAAGAAGTTTTTTGTCAGCATAATCATTGAAAAATAGAGTTCTTCCGAAATTTGAATTCAAATTTATTTAAAAACTAGTCACAGTTACTAGTCACAGTTTCACTTTGACTTTTTCACACAAGTAGGGTAACTGATCAGGCTTTCGATTTAGCAAATAAAAAATTTTGGCCCCAAAATGTAAAAAGGCGTTTTGTCAGCTTATGGCATTACAGACAGGTGGTAGTCTTTACAGGTGGCTGCTAAAGCAGGTTCGACTGTATTCTTATTTTACGTGGATGCTGACTGTCAACATACCTACCATTGACAAGACTGTAAGTTTGACTGAATAAAAAGCTGCCATTTGCTGCAGGCAAGGCATCAAACTCACAAACTGAAGGTACATTTAACAGCACATGGCTGCTGAAAGAAATCTGTAGTACATAAGTATTACAACACCCCTACAACCTCCCGAACACAAAAACACTCATAAATTACTAGTGGATAAATCGGATCGACCAGTGACTCACTCTTACAACACGCTGGGAAACAAAAATAAAGAAAAAATTCTTCGCTGTTGAGAAAACACTTCAATTCATGTACGCAGTTATCAAAATATAAAAGGCCTTTATTTCAAAAAGATAAATAGGTCTAAATTGAAAAAAAACAAACCTGCTAGAATTGTACATATTATTTTATAGATACATTTTCATATTTGGTTAATTATGCAATGGCATATAGTGGCATGAAAGCAATGGGTACAATTAAACAGTTCACTAATAATAAAGAAATTCTTTCAACATTTCCAGTACAGCGCTCAGTTCTTTGAGTCTCCAACAAAAAGAAACGGTCAATCATCCACACTGACACTAATGATATGTTTCAAAGAAACGGTTTGAGCCAGCTCCTACCTTGAAGAGACCTGCCAACCACTTCATGAGCAAAAATAGGAGTTTTCTTCATAATGATTACAAAAGAAAAAAAAATTGGTGTTTGAGAAAAGATATTTGGGGTCTTCGGAACTCCTGTCGATTAAAATTACATAACAAACCTACTATGGCCGCATATAAAAATGTGTATTTTCACGTCAATTATATTACAATAAGTTGCATATGACATATAGAAATGGAATTCAAGAAAAACAAATTGGACTTTAAAAAAAAATCTGACTGGGGTTCTTTGCCGAGCAAAAGAAGGTCAGAGAGTTCTGATTTTATGAGAGTATGTGTAACAGGTATGCTCTTGACAGTTAGCAAAAACATTTGAGCCCTGGACCTCTGAACTGAATGAAAGAATGAATGCAGGTGCTGTTTAGTCCACATCAACACAATTTAGATCATATACGAGGCGAGCTTCTGACCCTGCCTATCAGAGCCAACCTGGGCTCAGAGGGATACAACAACCAAGCTGAAAGACTGAGATGCTCGATAAAAATTTTCTCCCCACTCAAGATTTGAACTTCAATTTCCTGGGCACCATGGTGAAGCGCCTCACTGCTACACCACAGAAGCTGGTAAGCATTTCTAACAGAACATCCATCCACACAAACCAACAGAAGACAGGAAGCACTCAGACATGAATGCAGTTTTCCATTCCAGTATCAGAGCAGTAAGAATAAGAGCTTGGTGAAACACTTCATTCTGCAAGCAGAAGTGAGATTGCTCCTGTAAAAAAAAGGACTTCTTTATTCTAATGTATTTCAAAATTGTATTTGAATACGTAGCTGAAATATCTTACGTTTCCCTGAATCAGAGAAAGTTGATCAAAACAAAAAAAAAGCATGCTCAGGTACCAAAAGGAAACTGCTTTACCAAGTTAAACACTCATGTACTCATAGCACCTACCAACAATTCATAACGAGACATGAGTAAATTTTAAAAACGAGACTAAGAGATCCATTAAAAGTTTTTGAACGGTTAACAGATGATGGAATGAGCAAATCAAAATTAAATGCAAGGGGAAATTGAATCCCTCTTACTCAACTTACTGTAGTCAAGATAGATAGTGAATATGAATGCATTTACCTCAATGAACCTTCAGGGTGCGCACACACTTATAAAGAAATCACCTGACAAAATACAAATCATCACACACAAAACAGGTATACAAGTGCAGGGCACCGCACAAATACCCCCCCCCACACACACACACACGCATACGCACACATCCACAAGAAACCTCAAAATAAGACAGTCACATAACAACATGAACAGACATTCATAAAAGAGTTTTTCATCCGACCATAAAGTCAAAACCAATATTTGTACAGATATAAATCTGCACAAGTTATCACACAGAAACACATGAATAGCCTTCAGTGCTATCTTCTTAAGATAAAACAAAAATTTCAACCAGATTCTTCAAACCATTTCTGTCACGACCCATTTCAATTTCAAGTGTCACCGACATTTTCTCACTCATGCATTACTTATTCCTACAAACTCAATATCACACTCTTCATATATATATAGCAAGGATTTTATAATAAGCTGTACTAATCAGTGTTTTCCACAACACTTCACACTTTGGCCATACCTACAATGATGCTTGACAATAAACTCTTAAGCTAAAAGTTGATAAATAACATTATCTGGTAATACTGGTAATCCTGGCACTAAATCTAGAACTCAAACTCTGATTTTAGGAATTTGCTCTTAGAAGCCAAAATTCCTACTCAGAACCAGAAATCCCTATTCTGAACCAGATATTGTAACATTGAGGCAGGTGAACCAGGAAATCCTAATCAAACTAGAATTCCTCAAGAAAATCTGAAATTACCAAACAGACGATACTCACAAACATCTGTGGCTAGTTTTTTTTTACCTCTTCACACCCACTCACATCCTTTACATAAGGCACTTAGACTAAAACGTAACTTTGATTATCACACCCCCCCCCCCTCAATCCCTCTCTCATGGCACTGACTCCAAGCTCACACTTGCGGTGACCCAGGCGAGGTGTCGGACGAAACAGAGGCCAGGGGTCGGCGGGAGTGGCGGTTCAGAGCCTCTTTCCTCAGGGAGTTATTGAGCTTCTCAGAGGCCCACATCCACAGACGCAGGGGCAATAAGTACGCAATCCACAACTGAAATGGCATAAATACACACATGTGAGGCAGTGTGGTGAAATTGGGTGCTTGTCAAAATAATGAAATTCAAGAAACTGGCAATCTTTCGTCATTTTTTTAATAGACTTTTCTATTTCTTGGCTCAAAGCCCTTTAAATCTATTTAAATCACATTTTGGTGTGAATTTTACTGAAAAACATTGATATAAAGGCACAAAAAATGTAAATGTTTGTTTTCAATGTAAGCTTAATTAAGCTATACCCGATAGACCTGAATGAGATGCTGTTTGCGGACTATCAAAGCCTGGCATATGAAAAAGAAGAGCAGCTTCAAGAGCACACAGACAGGCTGAATACACAATGTGAAAAGCTCAACATGAAGTTCAGCAACAGCAAAACGGAGACGATGAAAATCAGCAGAACACCTGGCAACCTTAACATCATCATTGACGGAAATCCGCTGAAACAAGTCGGTGAGTTCAAGTATCTTGGTAGCATCTTTTCGGAAGACGGATGTCTCAAAAGAGAAAGTGAGACGAGAGAAAAAAAGGCTAACAGCATCAGCTACCAGCTTGGCCCACTCCTCAAACATCTTAACATTCCCATTGAGACCAAAGCCAAGCTCATGAACTCTATCTTCATCCCCACCTTGACCTACCAGTGCCAGACATGGACCCTGACCAAAAGTCTGGAACGTAAGATGACCACCTGCGAAACAAGATGTCTAAGGAGAGCCGTCAACAAAAGCAGACAAGACATGGTCAGAAACAACAAGATCAGAGAAATGATGGGAACAACACCTGTCCTCCACTATATTCGAAGGCAAACAATCAGATTGTTTGGACATCTCACACGTATGAAACCTAGCCAGCTTGCCAAAAAAGCCTACTACAGGAAAGTATCAGGGTACAAGTACAAGGCAAGAGGAAGACCAAGAAAAGGTGTGAAGTGTGAAGGATACCCTGAGAACATACAATATCCTACCCAACCTGGCAATCAAACTTGCTAGAGACAGGAAGCTCAAGAGAACGGATAAAGTAAACAAAGTAAAGACAAAGTAAGCTTAAGCTGTGGAATTCACAAAACTTTGACAGCCATTTTCTCGCTAATTTTACCTCTGAAACCAAGTGACCCCTACCTCCTTGAATCGCAACTATTCAAGATAGATGGGTATTTTTTTCATCAAAAGCAAGAAAAATGAACAAGTTTTAAGATGATTTTATAACTCCACATGCCTAAAAATTAAGGAGCACCTGATTCCACTGCGTCGTGACACATAGGCCATTCAAGTATACAATATAAATACATAATATATATTACGTATCCACAGCCATGTTTGTACTGTAATGGTATATATTTTGTGTCTGTGATGTTGCGGAAGGTGGTAAATGCAAGCAAGAAAAAAAAAGACACAGAGAGTAACATAGAAATGATAATCTTCTTCTTCTTCTACTTTTGGCTGGCCTCCGTTAGGAGGGCAGCAGGCAGACAGGTAAGCGGCAACCTCTTGTGGCCTCGTCCAGAGTACATCCGGGCCCGGTCTCGCGGTGTTCTCCATAAGTGGGCCTCGATGTGCTTCCCCCCGCGGGCACTCATACAGTGTGGCCACTCATACACTCATACAGTGTGGCCACTTATACACTCATACAGTGCGTGCTGCAGGTCGTCAGGACTTGTGCCACACGCCAGACAGGAATCATTGGGAGCGGAGCCTATTGCATGGAGATACGTCTGCAGGATGGGGCTCTTCACGTTGCATCTTAGCTGCGATTACACTCTTCTCTGTCTGACGGTAAGGTCTTTCTCTTTGTCCCTCTCCGCTGGTGACTTCACAAAAAAAATGATAATCTCTTTTGTTTTATTTTGCTTCTTTACGTGTTGCATACATGATTTAATACACGCCTCTGCTGTGAAATCCTTCACTTTCAATCAAACTATGGCTGGTCTTGACTGTCTTCCTTGGGGCTGCATTATTCTGTCATCGTTATACGTAATTGTAAAGGTCTTATGATCTCATTGACACTTGACACTATTTAGATCATTTAGAAGACAGCTGCCTTTTGTTTCCCGGTTCCAAAGGGGATCTCTTTAGAGGTCATATCCCTCTTATAAGTATCCTTATATCTTAAGAGGTTAACCTTTTTCAACGTTTAATTCTTTAGTTCTGTACAGAGAAAGTCTTTTCGTATTTTCTCAACTTCCTCCACACAAAGACTAATACAGTAGAACATGTTTATATAGCGGGACTTTTGGCTCCAGAAGAAAAGGGAAGTTCCCGCTCTAGGAATGCAAAGGGGAATTACTGAAAAATTCCTTTAAATCCACATGATTACACCCCTTTCATATCAATAAGATTTGCGCTTTAGATTAGTCTTCCCTTTCTAACTTGTGAACTTCATTGATCATCTCTGCATTTAATTCGAGTGAGAAGTATTTCCTTTTTTCTTTGTTGGAAGCCATATTTTCCTTGGTCTAGTTGCATGTGCTGTCTATCGTACTGGTAGGCCTACTGTAGAACTGGTGAAGTGGATGCGTGCGTATGCCTATGAGCATCAATGATCGCAATTCACCGACTCGGGAATCGCACACTACACCTTCTCATCTTCCTTTACTTTTTGTAGGCTACGGCTATGGCACACGTCTCTCCGCACCATCTCTCTCTCTCTCTCGGCTGCCTGCCACACTTCACTCATCACTGGACTGGACAAGCACAATACCGCACCTCTGACTGCCTGTTTGGAGCCTGCCTACAGCCCCCACCCCACAACCCCCTTCACCCCAGCTAGTGCTCGCTCCATCTCTCCCACTGTATCTAAGTTCAGGCCTTTCTTGCCCCGTTAAATCAGAGCACAGTTAATTAAGTTTACATAGACAAAGAAAAAGGGGATTCCAGTAAGGTCCCATTGTAGGGATGGTCCCGCCGCAATGAGTGCCGTTATAGTCATGTTCTACTGCAGTCTTTTTATTGAGTCTGTACTGCATGAGTAGTGATAACACCATGAAAACTTGACATCTTTCCAGTAACTCTATGTTGGTAATCTTACCTACCTAGCTTAGATACCTAGAGGTGTCATCTTTGGCTCAGGAGCTGATGTGAAAAGAATGACTCACCACTGTTTATGGTTGCTAGTCATATTATGCCAAGAATCTCTCTAATGACCTCACACGAAAGATGGTGAACCTTTTCCTTCACAAGTAAACAGGCTGTACAACTGTCACTCGTTCACAGCGATGTGCTTAGAACAGAACATGTGCTCAAAGTAGAGAGAGCACTTTCATCTTGGTCTTGATGTCGAGACTCCCGTTACAGTTAACTTTCTTTGACAGCTTGCTCATAGTCAAGAAAACTGTGTCAATTAAGACATTCAACTCTTGACAAAGTATCTACTAGCTGCAAATAGTGGAGCTTACCTGTGTGAAGTAGTCTGCAACTTCTACTTCTAGCATTTCATTATTTTCATTACTATTGGGAACTTCTGGGTGTTCAGACGTTTCTCCTTGGAAGGTAATTTGCATTTTTTCCCCATCTCTGTTTATTTCTCTCTTTCTTCAGACATGATCAGAGTTTCTAAATTTTGAAGGGCGCCAGGAAAAATGAAAAGTACTGAGTCAATGAGGTGCATTATAACCAAACCACATTGGCCACAAAATATACAGAAGGCTGATAATCACCACCATGATAATAATCATAATAATGCGAATCATTTCTATAGCATCCACTCCCATACAATACAGCTCTGCACACTTTACAACACCTCATCTTACCACAAAATACATGTACATGAACAATGACGATGTTTGCATTACATTGTGAACATATGAGTACTATATGAGCATGAAAGAAATCAACTTCCATGCTCTACATCCAAAGCACAGACTAAGCACAAAATCCAATTATCATTTTTTTAAAACTGCAAATAGTTTTTGATGCAGAATTTATCCTACTGAATTGGTCTTTATAAGGGAAGCACTACCTTTAAAAAAAAAATCCTGGGTCAAACGGGGCCAAAAACAAGCCTGAAAGCAAACTAAGCCAAAGCATCTCACCTGTAGAGTGTGACAGAAGTAGCCAGTGGTCAAAGTGGAGTGTCCCAGAGTCCTGACAGCACTTTTGGCAAAGTTCCTGGCATCTGGGATGAACCAACTATTCTTGCTGAGCTGGTCGCTGTAGCCAGTCATGCGAGTAAGGACGTAGAAAGGCACGAGGCACTGGAAGGTCACCCCGGAGTTGCGATACTCATAGGCCATGCCTTGGATGAAGTAGTCCAGGTATCTCTGCATAAAAAAATTAAAAAAATAAGGGGAAAATGAAATATCTATATATAAGCAGTCGAACCTACTAAAACCATATGAGACAATCGCTTGTACAAACAAGCACTACCCATTTCCTTCTATATGTACTTCTTTACATTATAATAACATTGCATAAGACGGTCACCAGTCTAATATGACCACTTTTCTCCGCGGCAATGGATGGCAGTCTTAGACAGCTTAGACTGTTATTTCATCAACAGAACACTTTGCGTCAGCTGAAAAGAACCCAAAAAATTACGTTGTTAAGTCTAGTTGCTAAGCAACTGGACTCGTAATTGTGAGGTTGCTATTTCAGGGGCGTCAGCACTCAGCACCGTGTGCTTCCCAAGCAGTTGAGACTGTTTCAGAAGGCTATCAGGTCTGATTAGTTTTAGTAGAGGTTTTTTAGTGCTCGCATAAGGTCATATGAGCGCCAGAAGATTAGAGGTGTTACAAGAGAGTAACAAACATAAAAAAGAAGGAGGGGAGATAAGGACGATAGATGTTAGATAGGAAAGAAGAAGCAAACCACACCAAAGCACCCGCCAACCACCCACCCTATCAGGTCTGTTGGGGTAATAATATAATATAGGCAGTAAAGCTCTTAGAGCTTGTTAAGTAGAAATTTGCACTCTGCAAATGCTCTTCATAACAAAATAATATGTGTACTCCCTCTTACTCAACATTTAATGGCCACATTCAACAACAAAAGTGGCTTGAAAGTGTACCAAACAAACATTCTAGAGGACGAAGAAGGTAACACAACAGTCTCTACTAGGGCTCAAGCTACTCACTTACCCAGGGCTCCTTTTTCAGTAAGAGTTTTACGGCACTTGCAACACAATAAGGTTATAATATAAGTGCCAAAGATTAGAGATGTTACAACAGAGTTATAAACACAAAAAAGAAGGAGGGGAGAAAATGACAATAGACGCTTGATAGGAAAGAAAAAGAAAAAGCAAACCACATCAGAGCACCCGCCAACCACCCACCCAGGGCTCTGACACAATTTCAGAAATCAAATTGTATGCTTATTCCAAAAGCTAAAAGTTGTCCAGACCTCAGTATTATTATAATTACTCATAAAACATCAATGCGCGGGCCAGTGTGACAACCAAAAAGAAATTGCAAAACAAAGTACATTTTCGCCGTGGAATCAGGCGCTCGTCAATTTTGGGGAATGCAGAGTTATTGGTATCATTTGAAAGCTGATTTATTTGTTTTGCTTTCAATGAAATAAACATCTCTTTATCTTGAATAGAACTCAAGATATCTACATTTGAAGGAAGTGAGATCGCCTGTTTTCAGTGGTGAATTTAGCGAGAAAATGGCCACCAAAGTGTTGTAACTCCTACAACTAAAGAATCTTCGAAAACTGAAAAATGATATATTTTGTGCCTTTAATCAATGTTTTTCAGTAAAATTCACAAGGACATGAGTTTTTATATGGATGAAAAACAGGTTAAGCCAAAAAAGAAAAAAAAAATTAGAAAAAATTTCAAAACTAGTGGAAAATGCCTGTTTCTCTGATTTCACTGTTTCGACGAGCGCCTGATTTCACCACACTGCCTCACATTCAGCACTGTAAAGCGATGTCTTGAATATTAATATCATGCTCACAATAAGAGATTCTTCTGAGCATAACTTGAAAGTTTAATTTGAGGACACAAAAAGTTTAACAAGCCTTAATAGTCTCAAGAGAATCGGGGTATTCATGTTTGCCTTGAAGTTCTTTCTGGAGGCGTCATCTCTGGCTCAGATGTTGATGTGTAAAGACCCACCACTGTCTACGGTTGCAAACAGCCCTCATGCATTTTGTCATAGTCAGCCCAGTCAAATATTTTGATGCTGTCAGTCCACATCATGTGTTGTCCACCTTTACCCCATATCTTTCCTTCAAGCAGTTCCTTCATAATGATATTATGGTCTATTTGGTTGTTATTGGTTGTGGCAGGGGGTTAGGCCTAGCCTATTGTATTGTTTGGCTGAAAGTGTGAGAGTGAGTAAAGTGTGAGTCTCTGTTCAGTGGTATTGTTAGCAAGTTTATAAAAGCAGTCTGGGTTACTACTGGTGAGACTTTAAAGGGGAGAGCTGTAGCAAGGCAGAGAAGGCCTGCTGAGAGTATAGGTAGAGAAAAGGCTAGGGAGCCTCAGTTTGTTTGTGTGTAACGTGTGAGATTCCAACGCATCGGGGCCCCAAAGCTGAGGAAAGGATCACAACACAGAGAGAAACAGGTTTGGCTAACTCGAGCTGTAGGCGCAGGCAGACAGAAGGTTAGTAGTGTTGAACATTGTTTTATGTTCCAAGTAACAAAGATATGGTGGCTTTTTATATGATCAAAGTGTTGTATTCTTCTCTTTTTCATTTTGTTTAGTGGGGTTTGTCTTGTTGGAGAATCTCATATGCCTCACAGTTTGTCTGCTTTGCTTTCCAGCTAATTCTAATTCTGGTCATTCCGTGGTGGCACCACATCTCAAATGTAGATATTTAGTTGTTTTCTGTCTTTGTTGGAGTCCAGGTCTCAGTGCAATATTAAAAAAATGGGGAAGATATTGCACTCCAGCAGTTTCTTCCTTACAAGTAGAGATAAATGCCTTGATAAAAAGATTTGTGCATTTAGCTGAACCTTTCTTTTGCACTTGGTGTTCTTATATTTATGTAAATTCTTTTTTAACTTTTGAAATCTTCTGTGACTGTTGCCCATAGATATTTGAATGTACTCGTTTGATTCTCTCCCCATCTATAATTATGTTGATTTTGATACAAACATTGTTTTTGCTTATTAGGCATTCATGTGTGTTGACGCCTTACTCCGCTCTCTTTCACTACCTTCCCAAAATTAGAAACATTTTCATATATATGCATGTGTTCGCAAGTAGCACTGTATCATCTGCCATCTCAAGTGATTGATTTTAGATTTTCAAGACAAGTGGCAATATATTAATGGTCCTGAAGTTAGCGCACTTTGTTGTTTTTTTAAAATATATAAAAAATTAATATAAACTAATTGGACTAGGTCCAGAACCATAGATGTAATAGAAAAGTTCAATGAGTGTTAATGCAAAACTGATCTAAGTAGATTGGGGATGACACAATAAGGTATATATTCTTAGTTCTAGGCACCGAGCTATAATAAATCTACTCATTCATCAACAAATATAGCTTGAAAGCATACCAAGCAAGGCTCAAACTACACACACGCTCACGGATCGTCAAGAATACTCAGGTAGAAACCAAACAGCAGGATTCCGCCTTAAGGCAAATAGAGTTTAGTCCTGCAAATATTATTCAGAGATGTGAACTCGCAAAGGAAAAAAAAAATCTTGAACTTTTCGGACCCAACGGAAATGAGCACAAAGGGACTCACAATGTGAGGATCATATTTTCTAATATATCTTGTATCAAGACCATTTTTATACATAGAACAATATCCGGGTTATTCCAGAAATCTGCATTTTACATGTAGTGCAGTATCCGGATATTTCCATTAATCTGTATTTTAAACCTAGCGCAATACATGGATAATTACAGAAGTCAGCTTTCCGGATTTATCTTGAAAATCGGCACCTCAGATGGCTGAGTACATTTCCAACCCTACCTTTGTGGCTGAGTAGACGGTCATCTGAGGTGTGATTTGAGTAGATGAGCCCGATGAGACGATGACCAGTCCACCACGCCCTCGATTGACCATCTGGGGCAACAGCATGTGGCTCATCTGGACAAATGCAATGAGGGAAAAAAAAAGCAAGTCTCAGTCTTAGAGATTGTAGAAAGGGGCAGGGGAAATGGTAGTCAGAATAAGCACCTCTTTAGTTCAGTTTTAGTCAAAGTTTACGGCACTTGAAGCAGAATTAGGTTAAAAAAAGTGCCACAGATTTGAGGTGCTTCAAGAGAGTAACAAACAAAAAAGGAGGAGATACGATATAAGGATGATAGATTTTGATGGAAAAGAAGAAGCAAACCACTTCAGAGAACCAATCAACCATCCATTATGGTCCTGTAAGAGTCAGTTTTACCAAACAAATTATCATTTCGACGTTTCAGGGGCATTTGTGAGTATTTAGATGTCCTGTTTGCTGCCAAGGTAACCTTTTGTTACACATAAAAGGATTATTTAGAAGGCGGAGAATTTGGTTCTGTAGTGAGATGAAAGAAGAAGGCTGAAGGAAGGAAGGAAAGATGGAAGGAAGGAGGGAAGGAAGGAAGAACAAAGATGAAGGAAGGAAGAACAAAGAAATCTGAGGGGTGGGAGAGGAGACGCAGAAGATAGAGCAAAGAAAATATAAAATATTTGAGGACACATTCAAGTACATTTATTTCAAAAGTAACTCATTTCCTGTTGGTCATTTTACTTGTTGGTTAGACCATTTCACAGCTCAACACATTTCTAATCTCTTCCACTCCAGAGTCTTCATGATCACACAACCACCGTTTTATGTTCAAATTATTATCTTTTTAAAGCTGATATCAATTTTCCTACATTTAGTTATCCTACAACACATTTGAGTTTGTGTAGAGAAAATTGAAAGAATTTTCTTTTTCCCAGATTACAGTTAGAAAGAAAAATAGGGCAGCAAAATAGCTTGTTACATTGAAGAAAATGGTCTAGACGGAAAGAAGTCAAAACGGCCAATCTGTGGTACCCTCAGCAAACTGGGAAGAAGAGAAAGAAGGCTGGGACAACAAATAGGCACATATCCAAACAATACAAAATGACATACATGCAAAATCATTTAAACAAATACCACGGGTATACTTGCAAACTCTGGCGAGAGCATGAGTGTGAATGCACGCACTCGTGCACACACACACAAACACACACATGATGACAGACACGAAGATTTACATATTCTAAACATACAAGCACATACATGTGACCAAACAGGCAAGGCATACATAATGAAAACTGAAATACAAAGAGACATGCACACACATAAATAAATACAATGACCACACATAAAGTAAGACAGCTACAAAAAAACCGACATAGCCCACCAACAATGACATCCACTTGCACAAACAAACAAAACAAGAAGTTCTTTCACCATGGTGGCTGCCCCAATGTTCACATAGATAAGCTGCCACAGTTTCTGACTCGAGATATTCAGTAGGACGTCAGGGTAGTCATACATCACACCCACATTGTTTACTGCAAAGAACAAAAAAAATACATTCTTCACAGCACAGAATGATCATTTCCTTATTTCAGAGAGAAAACATACTGAGGAGCTATAATTTCCTTATATTTGAAGGACCCATGATGTCAGTGTGTTGGCTTTCTATGTACATGATATATTACCAAACAATTTTTTCTGTTAAAAAAAAATTGTGACAGTGTCAAAAAAATGACCAAAGTTCGAAAGGATTTGTTTTAGACAGTGATAATTTCATGATTTGAAGCAGAGCTATACATCACTTACAGCCAAGATTTCAAGAATGACTTTTAATTGCTTAGCAATTTTTGGTGTTCAGCTGAATTTCATACATGGTCAGCCTGATTCTGGCCTCAGTATGTCACACATTTCAATAGGAATAGTCTGAACGTAACTTCTCTTTTCATCCCTGTAACATCATTTTAAAACTCAGACCACGGATTAACATCCATCTCCAAACCATTGATCCTAGTGGGGAAAGCTAACAAAACATTTTTTTTTTCAAAGAAGTTTAAGAATACACAACTGAGGACTCAAACACTGAGCTCACAAACATCATAACCCAGTTCAGGATCACTAGAGTTAGAGGCACTCCCAGATTTCTCAGGGAACAGATAAGGGTTACGACTACAGTGAAGAGAAATAGAAGGAGAATATCACATCAAAACACCCACCAACCACCTACAAGGCCAGTTTCCCCACAGGACTCCACATGACCTACAGAGCAGCACCACAAAAATTTTGCAAAATTTTAGACCACCCAGAAATCAAAACAAAGAAAGTAGAAGGGTTTCATGACAAAATACATTTTGTCCCAAAAGTGAAAAACAGAAAAATCTGACATCATCGGATGAAGAGACTACATGCTTTTTTGCTAAAAAGCAAAGCTGAACAATAGCAGTTTAAGATTATTGAGCGTGTTTTGCGAACAAATGTTCTGAAGCAGTAAATTTATAAATGTCTTCTTGCTAGTAGGCAAAAAGGAAAAGTTCAAGTATTTGAGATAATGCATTCGGTCAAAGAATCCTTTTTTTATATATTCAGCGGAGTCCTATTTAACCGAATTAGCGGACGAGCTGGATTTTCTTCGGTTTAGCCGCGATTTTGATTTTGATTTAGATAAGTTGTTCAAATATGTTTTTAAAAAAATTTTCTGTTTACTGCCGTTTTCTGATTAACCGTATTTGGTTTAACTCTTTATCTCTGAAGGGGGTAAACTCACTACGCCATGGCCTTTTTTTCCTGGCAAATCTAAAAATGACAAAACATCATTCAGTAGGTCATTAAATTGAAACTAGCAAACCTATTTTGATAGTTCATCTAAATGAACTTCCGGTATAAGAAACCTGTTTTCGGCAAAAAGTAATTTGATGTCGAAGTCGTCGAAAAGGAATGTGCCTGAGCAGCGACTCACCGGCACAGTAGTTCCGACTGCGAGCAGCTGGGAGCGGCTTGGCGAAAATAAAGAATTAAATGGCCTCCACTAAATAAAAACAATAAGCTTTCTCAAGGTTCTGATTCATTTCAGCTCGAGTCAAACTTGCAAAATACCCTTCTGATTTTAGTTGCACAGAAAACTGATTGATCTTCTCAAAAACTTCTAACTTCTGTTAACATTAGGATAGTTAATTAACAAGCAAAAGCTGTACAAAATGACTACAATCATTATTACAAAAGGACCATAACATGAAGGGTTTGCGAAAATCAAATGCCCTAAATACAAGTTCACAGAAAAAAACCATTTTTCCCAACATGTATTTTTCTGAACTGATACAGAAAGAGTGGCACATTCCTTCCCCCGCCAACCCCCCTTCCAAAAATAACTATCATACTTTAAAAGACAGATTATATATGCCTCATTGTTAATAAACGAAAAAGTCGCACAGCAGACTAGTCATCTTTAACGGTTATATGTTTAACAGTTTGAAGCCGAGCGCATTGTCTCAAAGATTTAGCACCCACCAAGAAGTCCAATCTCCTTGTCGGCCAGCTTATCCTTGATGTGACCATAGACCTGTGCTTGATCCTGGGCCGCAAAATCTGCCACGATGTACTCCACTTTAACTCCGCTCTTTCCCTCTGTGAACAAGAAATATTATAAAACCCATTTTAAATCAAGAGAACCATCTCATTACAGTACCTAAATTAAAAATTTGACAATTTGTTTCCAAATTTTGGCCACTCTATAAGAGAAGTTGGGAATGACAGTTGTGTCCTGCCCCTAATTTAAGGACAGCCTAACCATATCTAGCATAGGCACCAGGAAAAGAAATAAATCAACATCCAGACTAATCCTGCACTTCATTCTCAACATTTCATTGTCATCATTATAATCCTAAAATTTAAAACAGTTTTCTTTCTTTCCTGTTTTTATTTTTTTTTCTTGAAAGACGACAATTACTACCAAGGTGACACATTTTCTATGTAACTCACAAACATATCCCGCACCAAATCAGGACCTGAGAAAAAAAAAAAAAAAGCCAGAAGAACGTTTACCACCACGAGCCAAAAGAAGATCTAACCTTTGTGGTGGCTATAGCTTAGTGAGAAGTTAGAACATTTTCAATTTATTAATTCTCTTGCGAACTTACAGTTAACCATACAGAAATATCTACCTGCTGTAGGAAAGACTAAGAGATCTTTAGTGGTTATTTTAAAATTAACTTTCAACAATACCACCTTGGCAATAAGTTCTGAATTCATGTGATTGATAAGTTCATATGATATACATTTGATTTCAATGGCACACTGAAAGTTGGAAGTAAAGAAATAGCTCTTCTCATTTCTAGGTGACAAAACAGGTGTACATAAGTCTCTCAGTGAGAAAGCTCATACTATTTCAAAGTGTCTAAGAAAATTGTTATCACCTATAGATTTGGTTCCGCAGGAGTATCAGAGAAAAAGATGATATAATACCAAAAATTTGTTAAAAAATAAACCCCCCCAAAAATTCAATTTTTCCAAGAGAAGAACATTTGCACATGATAACATCAGTATACACAAATAGGAAACCGCAAAAATCACATACCAATTTCAGCCTTGGCTTTCATGAGCTTGCGTTCATTGCGGCTTATCAGGACCACATTTAGACCTCGCTTTGCCAACTCAGTGGCATAAGCTTGCCCAATGCCCTCACTGCTACCTGTCACCACTGAAAAAGAAACAGAACAGGCAATTGTAACTTGGGGTGTTTTTACAAAGGACATTCAATAAGTCTTTACTCTGACTACAGAAAGAAGCAAACTAGAAACTGAAATTTGACACTTATAATGCTACTTCTTACTTCTTTACATAGTCACCCTGCAAATTGACAGTTTTATTATTTTTGTTTGACCTTTAAAAGACCATGAGCGCCTTTAGCACAAAATGACCTCTGACGGGACTCAAACCTTCATTGAAGATTAAGCATCTTTTTCTTTATATGTAAACCCTGTCCTAAAAGGATTTTTCCCAGATAAAGTCAGAGGGTGTATAGGGTGGGTGAGGGAGACTTTTGTAGTCACTCTGCTCGGCTGTCTGAGTTGCCCTCACCATCTGGTGCACTGGAGCATTTTTGTGCAGCAGGAGAAATTTCTTCTCTCCCTCCCTCATACGCAATTCATGAACTACCTTCACCAAAATTGCACCAAAGCTCAAACCATCCATCAGAATTTTTCACAGCTCCAAACACAGCATTCCAGAAATATAGAAACCGCACTTTCCAAGTTTCATCATTTTACAAGAATTCCGTCACGGTAAAGACTTATAGAATGGCTCCCATAAATACCAACACATTTGTAACAAAGGGACACTTTATGTATATTTGACATGAAAATGGAATTGTTGCTCTGTTGTTGCTCTCTTTAATAACAAAATTTCAATATCTGGCAAAATGAGGACACTGATTGGTTTAAAAAACTGTCTACTTCGACACAACAGAAATAGCTACATTCCACAAAGAAATCGTTCAGAGCTCAAATAAAAGAGACAGCTTAAAAGAGTCCATTCTCAAAGTATAAATGAATGAGTTCTTCTCTCAGTCTCTTATGTTGACAGTAAATTTTAGCAGGGACATTGTGCTCTTGGTAAGATGACGTGATTTTCATTAAGATTAACTGCTGTTCATCTTCAAGTTTGTCAATGAATTTACATTATAAGTTTGGATGTGCAGAAGTAAAATGCTTGTAGAAATGATAATGGAAGCTTTTCCATGAATCTGTCATTCTGAGGGTACTTTCCTAGCACGCCCACATATAGGGAGGTCATATTGCTGTCTCATAGACACCTTCCGCAATATTTTTTAGCTTGGTATCACCAGGGTCTTGATATTCAGGCTAAACTAAAATCGCAAATTTATTGCACTTCAAAGACCAAAAAAAAGACAAAATAAAGTGAAAACATTTCAGTTGATTGCAGTTGGCTGTACCAAGCCAGACCTACGTGAAACTGTTTGGCTTTTAGGTTCTCTTTTGAAAAGGTACGACAACAGGTGACAACACTGCTGTGATAATTTAATCACACCTGATAGGCTTATTCAATACCATCATCACCGATACTATCAAAAATATTCAGTGCAAGTCTCTGAACCCAGTGTGTCAGAAAATAATGTAATGCGTTGTTCCACGGGGAAAAAAAACTGGTCCAAATCTCTGTTCCCCGCATGATAAGCTTACAATGAATACATAATGAAAAAGACATTTTTACACACTTTTACATATGTCACACAGTCAGGACAATAGTTTGATCTGTGGGTGAACGGATGAATCAGTAAAATCTAGCTACATCCAGACTTGGCAGACATTACATTCATGCTTCTTTAGGTCCTGGTAGGTCAGCAGAAGCATCCATCTGTAAAAATTATGAATGCGTTGACCCAAATCTACAGAGAAAAACCACATTAACAAAGACAACCAACAGGTCTTGTGAACAGTTGAAAACTGTCGCGACTCCTCACATTTTCTGGGATCAGTGCTGCAACTGTATCAGCTACTGGAAGGGTGGAGGAAGAGAATTGTCACCCCAAGCCTGGCTCATCTTATGACAGGCTACAGATCATGATATTGCGATTAATATTAATTTTAAAACCCAATAATAAAAAAAAATTATTAGACTATAGAGCTAAAACTTGATTTCATTTTCAGAATCAGCATATGAAAATAAGCAAAGTGGCTTGAGTGAACCTGATTTCATGCGATACAGCAAACACACATAATTTTATCTTTTTAAATTGATTGTCGATTCGAACTTGATTCTCAAGGTTAGTCAGTGTTTTGTGCATCTGACATCAAAGCTTCTAGTTCTACACACTGCCGTCATTGCATCCATAGTGAAGAAACTGGTTCATCTGGTTCGACAAGACCCATCTATAACTCTAAAGTCAAACGCGAATCAGTGTAGGGTCAATTGAAATGATTCTCCATGATCATCTTAACATGAATACGGTGTCTGCGCGGAAGGAACCCCGCCTTTTGACAGGTGAGCAAAAGAGGCAGAGGGTTGAGTCCTGCAAAACTCTCATTCGAATTGAGTCCAATGACACAAATTCCTTTAAAAACATGGTGACTATGGATGAAACATGGATTTATCATTTTGATCCAGAATACAAAATGTCCTCCATGCAATGGAAAACCCCTTCTTCTCCCTCACCAAAGAAGGCAAAGGTAACACCTTCAAGTGGAAAAGTCAAGCTATCATGACTGACTACCTGAGAAATGGAAAAACGGTCACAGGAGACTATTACTCGGGTTTGCAGATAAAATTGAGGTCTGAATTGGTGAGAAAAAGGCGTCCAAAAATCTGTAATGGGGTCCTTATACTGCATGACAACGCCTCTGTCCACTGTCCACAGGGCACAACAAACAGTCCAGACAGCAAAACGGTGCAAATTTGAAATCCTGCCACACCCAGCTTATTCACCAGACCTAGCCCTCCTCAGGCTTTTTTCCATTTCCTGACCTTAAAAAATCACTCAAAGAATGTAATTTTCATGACAACGAGGACGCCATTGAAGCTGTTGAAGTCTGGGTCATTTTTATTTCAAGGACTTTTGAAGGTCAAAGAGAGGTGGTAGAAATTCTGAGAAATGTGTTACTCTGCATGGTGACTATGTCGAGAAATAAAAGTATGTGTGCCAAGTTCCAAAGCTCTATCTTTAAGACAAAAGACTTCTTGAACCCCCCTCGTAGTTCACACGCTCTTGCCGACAGCAACCTTCCTTCATTCAACAGTCTCAGGCAATGCGTCCGAGGGGAAGTCTCGGCCACTGTGCATATATATAAATAACCTTACATTACCACGGATGCACAAACATTGTCTGCAGGTATTTTCACTTTTCGACATCAAAACATAACCACTTCCTGCGATAAGGACCCATGCATGCAGAGGAGAACATTTACTTTTTTTCCACATGACTTGTCGGGCAATTAACACAAATATATATAGGTCCTACTTGCCCAGTAGAAAAGTCAACTTGCCCGTTTTCAAACATGATCGAAAACCATTAAACTTTTTGTATTGAGAAAGAGAAAAGTTGAAAACAGTACTGATACGTGGTATAAAATAATAAAATCATTTGTTGATTTGCTAGTACATGTAATCTGCTCTCACATTGAATACTTTATACTGTTCTTTTTAATTATTTAATGCCTGAATATGATGGCCAAACATAAATTCCAAAACATTCCCTGTCTTCATGATGTGTTTATCTGTTCTCTACACTCACCACTTTGCCACCACTTTTCTAAGGTAAGTGTCGCATTGCAGTCCATAACACTTGGCCCATCAAAGCATGCATCAACATGGATAGGACATTTGTTTTGAGCCGAAGGTTTGCCAATGTCATCGATGGATGCCACCTCTCTCAGCAATACGAGAATACTCAAAAACAATGACTGCCTTCTTGTGATAATAATGACTTGCCCGGTCGGGCAGGTAAACCGTAAAGCAAAGCAGCCAATCTACCTGCCCAACACAGGTAGTTACCTGCCCCGGGCAGTCGAGCAATCCTTAATGTTCACCCCTGGTGTGTGTTTGTATGTGTGTCTTTGTTTGTGTATGTCTGTTAGTGTGTGTGTGTGTGTGTGGGGGTTAAGTTATATCATTGTATCTTTGAAATTTCCACCCCACCCCTCTCTGAAAATTAAGTAAACTGCTTCACAAGGAGGTTGCTGTTAGGCAGACACCACTGTATTATTTAGCGTGATATATATGGCACTGTTCAAGATGTCTACCACTCTAAAAGACAACCGCTTTTCTCCTTGACAATGAGTGGCTGTTGGGGACAATTTCAGTACCCTTCTGTACGTACTAAATGCATACCTGAGTGAGCAGTGAAATAAATCTAGCCATGACCCTGAACCAAATGAATTGTAGGAAGTTACTTAGGTGCATGCATGCATAGTACAGATCTAGAATCCAAACTTGATTCAGGAATATTCATGATGAAACATCTCCATCTCAATTGAAAGAAGAGATTATATTATGAAGCTTAAAAAGTTCTCTCTCTATAGTAATGATGTGGGCTAAAAAGCTTAATAAAAATTCGGCAGCAGCTATCTATTCGGACTCAAGTCAGAATAGTAGCCTCCCATCGCTATTCGGACTCAAACTGTAAAGCGAGTACCGGATGTGAAGCAGACTGGCATTTCGAACTCGGCCTTCCTCGGTTTCTACGATCTGGCCAAAATTTTCGACACAAAGAAAAGTATTAGTGACGTCAAAAGTGAACAACAGTTGCAAAATCTTAAATACTACATATACCAAACGCCAACTGGGAAACAGCAATCTGAACTCAAAGCAATGAAAAAAAATTGAAAATCATAGTTTCAGAACAGCAAAAGATTATCAAGTGATCAATAGGTAGATCTAAACTCGATAATATTTAACGAGAAAGATAAAATCATCATCAGTTGGAAGTCGAGTTAGAAATTAAAACAAAGTGGCTAGACTGCCAGTCTAGCCGTACTTAGATCTAGGTTTGGCCCTATTAACTCAAACCTGTTGAGTACACAGGTCTCATTAGATCTAGATCTAGCAATTATTCAGGTTTAAAATACATATATATGCAAGTCAGTAAGGCACCTTTTGGTTTTGTAGGAAATACAAATACTTCAGGCATTGCAAACTAAAAATTTCATTTACAATTCAGCCATCAATTAATAAGTACAGTCCGTG